AATATATTCTATATCAGACTCCCTTTGCAGACGATTATTTTTTGCAGCTTTTGTAACCACATGAGCTGCTGGAAGAACCTGTGTGTTTTTTGACTTTTTTGATTGATTTTGGTTCTTGACTTTCTTGACTTTGTGTTTTGTTTTGTTTTTAAGTTGACACTGTTCATTATTTTAGACATTTTAACATCAAAATAAGTGCTCATTCTTCTGCTTGTGTTTATGTGGCATTTAGACTCTTACTGTATTCTTCATACAGTTGGGCAATATAATCAATCAAAAATGACAGTCGGATGAAAACCGTGTTTTCACTTGTCCCATAAGAATCTTGTTTGGTTAATCCACAAATCTGTGTTTGTACGAGCGAGGGCTCAAAGCAAAGAGAAGATCATGTGTTTTTGCTTTTTTTGTTGTTCTTTAACATCTTTTAAAGAGGAAAATGATTACCTAGGCAGGAAGGATATTAATGTAATTAAGTATTTTCAAGGGTGACAATAATCTTTGAGTTTGTCTTTACCTGCAAAAACTGCAAAAATAAAAAAGAACAAAGCATCAGTGACCGAGGATGGTACTTTAGGAAACTGCACAAGCAAAAAACATTAAAAAAGCAAGAACAGAAACTTGAAACATCTGGACAGGAGATTGTTTTATTGAGTGTGATCTTATTTTATTTTTAAATCAAGTTATTTTAAGGGATATAATTTTAAAATGAAATGATGTTTATACAAAATCTTGAAGATGTTTTCAGTCATCTGTGAGTCATCAAATTTCCTCTGATGTTTCAAAAAAAGAAAACCATAAAAATATTAAATGCATTATCCTTCTTGTTAACCTACGATTTATATTTTCATTAGTTTTGGTTCATTTTTTTAATTAAAATTTATCATGTCTAACAATAAATCGTTGTTTTTTCTCCAGCAGGGGATGCTGAAGTGAATTTTTTTCACAAAATGACAAAGTTATCTCCTACGTTACTCGGTGAAGATGCCTGGAAATAATGGTCGAAATGATATAATGTGAAAAACACATACTTGAAGAAAATCTTACAGTACAGTATGACAACTTAAAAATGACCCAAATATTATCTATCAAAGGAAATTCTCTTCCTCCTGTGTCACACCAGTACAAATGACCTTGCTCAGTTTCTCAGTGTCTGCTTTAAAGCACTGCAGTCAGATTTAGACAAACATAATCTAAAGCAGAATTGTATCTTAAACATTATACTGAGTCAGTAACATGCTCCACATTAAAATGAAAAAGGCATTTCTATAGCTTACCTCTTCCGCACCACAGCAAAAGAACCCAGGCTAAGTCCAAGGCCAGACCAAGGCTACCATCCACAATTATCCAGTCAGAGAAAATATTCAGAGTAAACCACAACAACAACATTTTTCTGCACTATGTAGTCCTGCCACACACATCACACAGTGTCAGTGAAATATTATAGAAGTATTTTGGGTTCTTTTTATTCTTTGTCATTCACAAATTTTCTGGTTGGACAGTTGAACTCTGTGTTAAGAAGTTAATTACATGAATACTGTGAGCAGTTTATGATTAACTTGTTCCTCAGTGTGTCACAAAAAAAGAATTTCAGATATTCAGATGAAGGGTGTGATTATCGTCACAGTGAATATGCTAAGCTGCTGTAAGCAGCAAACCAGCTGGGTCAGATGTCGTGTGACGTCATGTAGATGTATTTACTCACAAACACTCAGATCGTGTACCATGAAACAGCAGGACAATGGCTGGGATCAAGTGTGTCGTGTTTTTGGTGGTCCTGACTTTTCAGTGGACTTTTGTAAAAGCAGGTGAGTAAAAGCTTCACTGCACTTATTACTTGAATCTATTGTGAATACAAATCACAGTTATGATGTTTACAAACCAAATATAGGAGGTACTGAAGAGATAGACTGAGTCAAACTTAAAGCTCAGGTATAAATCTCAGAAATGACAGGTACAGCAAGAAACCTCTTTTTTAATGTGATCATTATTCAGTGAAGTAGGAATATGGTTCACACAATGTTTGGTTGCACAATAGTGAGTTTAATTTAATTAAACATACACAAAGATGAGTTTATAATCAAAGGAAAACTGAAGTATTTACAACTTTCTGTACGGTAACAGGAGTCAAACTGTGACTGCAAGATACCCTAATAAATTGTGGTTACATGGTTATTGTGAAGTAAATCTGTTCTTAAACTTTAGAGACCTTTAAAGGATTGTAAGACAACCTGTTAGGATGGATTCCTGCATGAATATTTTCTTGTTGACGAGTCAGCAACCAGCTGTTTCTCTGAGGTTTGAAATCTCTGACAACATACTTCAGTGAACTACTGTGTTGTCTCTCCTTACCTCAAATAAGTATTTTTTTTTCATTTTCATGTTTGTGTACATAACTTTATTTAAACATTTTTATGTCTCGTGTTATGTTATTTTGTCTCAATCTGGAAGTCTTTAAAACATGCATATTACTAGTCTATGTATCAGTTTGTTATTGATAGTATAGTATAATAGCGCTACAAATAAATTACTTTTTCTCATTTCCTGTTTTACTCTTTCTGCAGCATCCTCTGGTATATGGATATGGTGTTTACATCTTAGGGAAGCTCTTTCTTTTTTTTTAATCTTTCTTTGATGATAAACTGAGGGGCAGCCCAAAAAATTAGTATGACATGAATAACATGAAGCTAGAAAATGATCAAAATGGCCAGAATGTTCATTCTCCCTGATGCTGCCATCACTCAGTATCTCTAAATCTATCACTACGGCCGTCTTACTCTGTTTGTCCACTACTACTATGTCTGGTTGGTTAGCCGCCACCCTTTTATCCATCTGTATCTGGAAGTCCCTCTGATCTTAGCTCGGTCTTTCTTAACCACCCTAGGGTCGGTGTAACATTTGTACCTCCAGGGCATACGTGGCACAGATGTTCCTGGACACTCTGCTGGCCACTTGGTCATAGCAGTCCACGTATGCCTGCTTGCTAGCATTTTGCACCCTGCTGTAGGCGCTGGGTTGAAGGCGGAATGAAACTGAACACATTCAACGTGTGGGAGTGGAGGCAACAATGTCAAAAACTATTTATCATGAAATGTGAATAAGGTTTATACATTGTTTGGATGCACAGAAGCAAAATTGTTCTTAGTGGCATTTTAAAAAAAAATAAAAATAAAACAAATTTAAATATATCCACCTTTTACTCTAACTTTTAAGTTTAAGAAAATCACATGTCAGGATAAATGTCAAAATAACTGCTTCATTTGGTTGGATAAATTATAGCAAATCAAAGTGTATGTAACTACAAAGTATAACAATTATCTCGTTATACATGATTTTATTTCTCATAATGTTAAAGATTTGAAACCATGCAGATGTGACAAATTTATGTTTGAGGTGTGTGGTCATCAGTAATTATCATTGTGGATATTTTTAGATTCTCATTTATCAGGTGTAGTTTTGTTAAATTCTGCTCTCATGGTAGCAGTGTCCTATTTTCATAACCTTGTACTTCAGGTCTTCAGGTGTTTAAGCCTGAATGGAGTCTGTTAGAGTTCTTTTGTAATAACTGAAAAATTCATCCACGACTTCTTTGATATGAATGATATATGACTTTATAGGAAGGCCCTGTTTTGAAAACATTTTTCCTTCATTAGTGAAAAATTATTATTTAAACAATTTTTCATTTGTACTCTAGATAATTATATTATAATATATTATAATTAATAATTTACATTAACATGAATTTATATGTCAGCAAATGTATTTCTGTAATTCTGAGATTCAGGTCAAAGTTCAGGAAACTTCAAACTTCATGAGCAAGTTTAGAAAGAGCTTCCTGATAGTTTAACAGCTTGTGGTGCAGACCGAGACTACATTCCAGTCGAGCACCTGTGTTTTATTATTTCTCGTTTTCTTCTCTTGATACAGTACAATACAAAAAAAATAAACAAACACAAAGTAATAATAATAAGGGAACCGTGACTGACACAGAAAGAATGTGACAGAGGATCAGACAGACAGGGTAAAAAGTAAAATATATAAACTGGAACCTAAAACTCTACAAACACACAACAGCCTCAGTAGAATAATAAAAAAATAAAATTCATCCAAATTGAACTAAAAGAATCAAAACTTCTAACTTTATAATGAAGGAAAACCCAAACAGAAACAACTCAAGTACACAAACACAAAACCTCTGATTCATGACTTTGATCATGTGTCTCTACCTGTTGTTGCAGATACTGAAGTGTCCTGCATTTTCATAGAGAGATGTATGTTGCCATGCAGCTATGGTGGCATTGATGTAGTCATCCACTGGCATCAGGTATCAGCAGGAGACATTACTGTCCACTCATTCTACCACAACAAAGATCAGCTTGAACATCAGAACCAGCGCTTCAGAGGCAGGACGTCACTGTTCAACGACCAGATCTCCGCAGGAAACGCCTCACTGCAGCTGACAAAGGTGGAGGTTCGAGATGAAGGGAAATACAGGTGCTACACCAGCACTGACAGAGGAAACCAAGAATCAT